AAATTGCTCGCTATGTGGTAAATTACATGATTATTCACTCTGCTTTAGAAAGAATTCAGAGGTAATGCCTCAGAAGCATACCAACGAAAGACAACAGACTCCAAAGATTCCGGCTAAGGCACAGGCCAATACAGGCAGCAGAAATGGTCCCCAGTACAATACCGCACGCGCTCCAAAAGCAATCAATGCCTTTTCACCCATGAGTAATGTTTCTCTTAGCAGCAACACTAACGTGCTGATCCCGACCAAATTGTACTGATGACAGCAGAGGGACCTGTATGGAATCACAACAACTTCTTACGAGAAAGCTCTGTTTTTCTTCGACACGGGCGCACAACTAAGCTTGATAGAAGAAAAAGCTGCGGAGCATCTTGCGCTGCCCGTTGTGGCCTCAGACAAATGTACGTTATCTGGTATAAGTGGGATCTCTGAAACATTTGTCTCCCACCACGTACAAGTGAAAGTCCTCACGGCTCACGGTAGAGAACTACAGATGACAATGCAAACAAAACCAACGCTCACGAAAGGGTTTCCGGCAGTGCGCCTAATGGAAACAGATATAGAGTTCATGGAAGAAAATTCCATCCAACTAGCGAACACCCGGCTCAAAGGCGAACACCAGGTTCCTCAAATTCTCGTGGGGATCGACCTTTACAATGTATTCATTCCAAGAGTACTCCTCTCGTTTTACAAAAACAGTATTCGGGTTTGCGGCATATGGTCGAGGGATTATGCCCCTTTAAATGACGACGAGCAACGACCATAAAGAATGCAACACAGTCATAACCGAAAACATGACAGATGCCGATCTGATTAAAGCTATGTTTGAACTTGAGGGCCTAGGCATCTCCACGAAAGAAGGGCTCCACGAGGAAGCGATATATGTGTACCAGTCTGGCTGACGCGCATTTCTGCGCGCAGGGTTAAACCTATGTTACTGATACTTGACAGGATTTCTGTGCTGAGCAGTAACACTTAGCCTAATTCCTATGTTTCCAAAACGGCCCATTTCATCATGTTTCTCCCTTTTAATGAACACTTGCCAATGTTAGGCTCATATCATATTTCTAAAATCACCATTCGTTGGAAATCGGACAGCATAGCGGTTGGAAGGATTCCGATGGTAAAAATATCGAAATCACAGTGGCTCTTATCATTCCTCACTGGGCAACAACTCCATACATCCTTTTTTCGGGGAACTCGAGCGTTTAGCGGTGGAAGCAATTCCGACGCGCTAAAGAACTGAGGATTTTGCTAAGGGAAAACATCTTGACTCATTAAGAATTAGCCCATTCATTCTTTGGCTACGGTAATGTGAGCAGAGACGGACTCCGCCCTCGTAGGACACTGTCAGAACTTATCTCCCACCTTAATGTTCCCTAAGTACCTCTGAATTACTTGCTGGAGCAGTTCCCAGTGTTGCTATAACTCTGCTATGAATTTTCCTGGCTATCTTATCAGCTGTTATCAATTCCTGCCACCCACCAATAATGTTCCCATACTGCCCCCTATATTACTTCTTGGAACCAATGTCTCGTCGTTGCTGTGGCCGGTGTTATGAATTTGGTGACCCTCGCTTTCTAAGAGCCCTTATGATATCTTATCGGCTGTTATCAATTCCTGCCACCCACCAATAATGTTCCCATCCTGTCCCCTATCTTGCTTCTTGGAACCAAAATTCCTAGCGTCGCTGTGACGCGTGTTATGGAGTTGGCGACCCTCGCTTTCTAAGACTCCCTATGGTATCTTATCAGCTCTTATCACTTCCTGCCACCTACCAATAGTGTTCCCATACTGCCCCCTACATTACTTCTTGGAACCAATGTCTCGTCGTTGCTGTGGCCGGTGTTATGAATTTGGTGACCCTCGCTTTCTAAGAGCCCTTATGATATCTTATCGGCTGTTATCAATTCCTGCCACCACCAATAATGTTCCCATCCTGTCCCCTATCTTGCTTCTTGGAACCAAAGTCCTAGCGTCGCTGTGACGCGTGCTATGGAGTTGGCGACCCCCGCTTTCTAAGACTCCCTATGGTATCTTATCAGCTCTTATCACTTCCTGCCACCTACCAATAGTGTTCTTGCCCGACCTCCTACATAACTTATCAGTTTGAGCGCACAGTCGCTGTTTTGAAGGAAGTTATGAATTTCCGGTCAAACACACATACAGACACACATACATTCACAACACAGCATATAACACACACACCAACAGACAAACTTAGCGGATTATATATAGTAGGATCTTTCGAAGTACGCAAAATCAATAAAATATGAGAACAATCACGTCATAGCCCCCTTTCCCGCTGAAAGAAAACATTGCAGAACTAACAGACAACCGCACCATGGGCATAAAAAGGCTGTTAATCCGAGTAAAGCACTTGGAAACATATGAAGAACAAAAAAGGTGGTACAAAAAAATCATCGAAGCAATACCTTCGGGATAATGTCATTGAAGAAGAAGAAAACCTGTCTGCTGAACCTCTGTGGGGACATACTACATGCTCGCAGCTCGAATGTGGAAAAGGAAACAAAAAACTACTACATAAGAATTGTATTTGACGGGCATCCTCGAAACAAAGAGCAGACTGTCTTTAAAGGACGTCTTATTCAGGGGTGCCACATTCATCAATAATATACATTATATCCTTTGCGAGTCGAGAAAATGGCAATCAATAACTATAGCAAGACATTCAAGCTGGGCGTTAACAAATTCGAGATAAAAAGAAAAAAAAGTTTTTTCACGCGGGATCTCTGCCGATTTCTGTGCTGCGCGAAACCCGAAAACACTTTTGCCACCACGCGACCATTTCATAATAAAGCATGTTCAGGTACCGGATGGAAGCGCGTTCACGTTTGGCACTATGCTGCCCCAAGCATGCTTAACATGGTCATAACAGCAACACTTAAACCGTGAAGGGTACGGAACTGGCGAGAGAAATACAAGAATTTCACCGCGATCTCTGCCGATTTCTGTGGCTGCGCGACCCCGACAAACCACCATTCCATAATAACATTGTGGAGTACCGATGGAAACGCGTTCCGTTTGGTGCCCTACTGCCTTACGCCAGGTCATGCTTAACATGGCATGATCAAGTGCACACTTAAAACGTGAAGGGTACGGAACTGGCGAGGTGAAATACAACGATAGTCTCTATATTAGACGAAAAGGCTTTTCAACGGCCCTCAACCCCGGATAGTGCAATCGAAAAGTAGGCAAACACGTGAACTTTCAAGAGGATTGGAAATGAACCTCAGAGCGTTCGTTGTAATTCCACTAAGGTATACTCTAAATTCGCTGAAATTGATAGAGCACCATATGGGCCTATGAAACTCCTTGGTTTAGAGTACAATCCAGCTTCAGACCAATTTACGTTTCGAATAGAACTCGAATCATGTCCAGCTACAAAAAGAGATGTTTTGAGACAACATCACGCGATATACGACCCGATAGGTTTCGGGGCGCCCCTGCTAATAGAAGCAAAACACCTCATGCGCCTCGTACTTGAGAATAGCCCAGAATGGAATTCAAAAGTGGATCCTGACTTACTGAAACAATGGCAAGTAGTCAGCAAAGGGATTGACAACGTCAACATTCAAGTTCCGCGTCACATTATGGTATCAAACACAGACGTTCTGAGAAATACGCTCTGGATATTTGCTGACGCAAGTGTCCAAGCTATGGCAGTATGTGCATACATGGTGGACCGCAACTTCACAGAAGTTTCAGGCCTCATAAGTGGAAAAACAAAACTTGCCCCAAAGAAAAGGGAGCTATCTACACTGAAAACTGGAGTTACTAGCACTCTTGCTAGCTCTACGCTTAGCCGAATCCATATCATTAGCGTTGAAAAGTGGGATTGCGCAGATCTGCATTGTAAGCGACAGCCTCATTGCATTGAGCTGGATACATACTTCACGCAAGCTCCCTCTTTTCGTCACGAATCAACGTGACCGAATAAAAACAATCATGAACCGCCTTTCTGCCTTAGGGCATGAAATCCAGCTACTTCACGTTCCTGGAGAACAAAATCCCGCCGACGACGGCACTCGGGGACTTACAGGAGAACAACTCCGAAGCAGCGACTGGGTTACAGGCCCACAATGGCTGCTTACTGAAGAAAAAAGAAAAATGCTCACAAAAATAGATCTAATTGGATCATTTCAATAGATCCACTGGAAAACGAAGAAGATGGTGTGGTTTTAGCGGAAGCCTCTTCCCAACAGGATGATACGTGCCACAACGCTACTCCTCTAGAGCGCTTCAGCAGTCTGTACAAGGCTCTCAGAGTTACCGCATTAGTCGGCAAATTCATTCGTATGCTAGCTAACCGCGCGAAGAATAATACACATGCCAAAATTACTCTCTTCACAACTGCCATGTTTTCAATCCGGACAACTCATCACCGCCAGCGATATAAAAATCGCAGAAGCGCATCTTACTACAAAGTCAACACCGAAGTGTAGACGTTAACGAAATACAACGTAAGAATCGGGATAAACACATATTTCGCGACGAAAATGGTATAATTCGAGTTCATTCACGTTTGCAAAATGCTAACCTTCCTTATGACACTCGATATCC